CTCCATTGTCCCACAATACCATGCAGCCTGAATTAATGTCGACTTCTCATAATAACTAATATTCACACCATTCGTTTCACTTCGAACGCTCGCCTTCGAAATTCCTAAATGTATTTATAAATTTAGCTCATTATATATTTTTCAATTAGCCTATGTGATTAACACATCACTATATAATTAATAATATATTTAAGAAATATCAACTGTTAACCATAAAATCTGCGTGGAATTTTAATCACTATTTTGGTGATAATTTGTAAATTAGAAACTGAGAACAAAAAACAGTATTGTTCTTACGAATGAAATCAGCGACGGTATCGTTGACAATGTTATTAGCGATTTCTACGACAGTTGTGGAAGAAGTGGAAATATTATTCTGCTATCAAATTTTAATTGCTTCGTGATTAATGCATACTGATTAATGCATTCTTATCAATTTGTATTACAGCCAGGTGAAATCATTTTTTTTCACCTGTCGAAGACAATCAATTAATATGTTAATAAATTAAAAAGAAGAAATCAACAATCATTTAAAAAATTAAATCATTCAGGAAAGAAACACTACGTACAAGGATGGTATGAGATGATAATCATAAGGTTACAAAACACGTAGCATTTCTACGTAATACCGTTCCCGAGCTCTAAGGTAATGTTTAATTTTCGTTTAATCATCCTTGTATGGTTGTTACTATTAGGTATGACTTATGAAATATCTCCCGAACAATAGCCAAATAACTTCTTTAAGGCAATAATTGTCGTCCTTTAAATAACTTATGGATGAGTGTACCATGGTTTAATATTGTATTAAGTAGAGATTCTGGAATGATTTCTGGAACTTTGCAATCTTTGAAGGTAATATTTTCAATGATCGGGATTTAGGTTAGATTTCCAGCAATTACATTTACCGGTTTTTATTATAGCACCAGAAGATTTTTTGTTTGGAGAGGAAGTTGGAAGAAGAATGTGAAAAGCGACGTGGAACATGCAACAGGTAGGAATTGATGGCTGTTATCTTTCAGTGTCACTTTGTTCAATTTTTTATGAATTTTAAATTTAAACTTCAAGCCACCACATACTAATGCAAAATGTCCTCCATTCAAAAATCAATCAAATGATCAAAAATCGTTCAATCATCGGATATCTTTAAAAATTTAATTCTAACCATATATTTCTATGTTATAATAACCAATAGTTTTCTGCTTCACAGAATATTTTCGTCATGCTTTGAAGAATTGAATAATTCTAATTTAAAATATGAATTAATTATTTAAAATGGATCAAATTTGCAAGCTAATAATTACATATTCAATTTATGTTTAACTTTTAATGTTAAAATAATAATTCAAATATGACTAATGAAATTATTATTATTTATGCAAACATTAAAATATGTTGCGTTATATATATATATATTTCAAATATATATGCTCCTTGTATCATGTATATATATTATAACAGCGTTTATCAAATTTCATTAATATGAATTGTTTGATTAATAGATTGAATTTTTAATTATAAACATTAGAAATTGTATTTCTGATATTTTTATTGTCCACTAAAATTATTCAAATTTTATTTCTTTGTAATTTTTGAAAATTCGAAGAATCATAAAACATAAAATATCATAAAACTCAAAAAATCATGAAATATTTTTTAATGAAGATTTACTGAGAAACGAACAAATTGAATGAAACATTAAAATATGTCGCATTTTTTTAGTACACAATTTTCATTTCATTAGGAGGACAGGTGCCATTAAAAGGTGAGCTATAAAATTAACGTATAATACTACTAGAATTTTATTGACAAATGTTTTTTAAAAATATGATTAGTTTACAAATTGCTTGATAGTCGTTTTCTAATATTTGTAAATGATAAAAAATTTGAAATGCTTAAAGATTATCTTTAGAGTTGATAATCCTGCTAATGCTATTAAAGATATAGCAACATGCTTGAAAAATAAATTGTTATTAGCAAAATGAGATCAATGTATGAATGCGCAAAAATTGCCAATACCATCCAATTTCTGAAAACTGATAAGAGATAATTAATGAATTATAATTAATACTATACGAATTCATGGCAACATTAAATAAAAATGATAAGATAACTTTTGATTTTTTATTGTACTTACATTATAAGAGAGTGATAGAAATTTTCATTATACTGTTTGAAGTAGTCTTATTGCTTGACCGAATTTCGAAATTTGACCGAACTGTATTAAAAGAACTAAAGTTGTATTTCAATTCAATTTCAAAAAAACTAAGGCTTTCGCACTACACGATTTGACAGCTGGCAGCTTTTGTAAGTATTAGACAATGAAATAATTGTTTTGACATTGCTTAAATTTAGTATGCAATATCAAAGGCTGTCAACTACATGAAAGAAAGTAAAAAAATTGCAGATTTGTTGATTAGATACATTTTATTTTGGCTATGTTATAGATTGAAAGTGATTTAGCGTACATAAAAATGAAAATATAATATGGCGCAAAAGGAAATTTATTAATTATTTTGTAAGCTACGGTAAAAAAAATTTTTTAATGTTTACAGTAATCAATAATAATCTACTATGCATATCATCGATGTCACAACGCTGTGCTTAAACGACCGTTGATTATGAATCAAATATCATTGCCCCGACTATAGCACATTACTCTGCAGCCATTATTATTGCATTTATAATAATACCGTATAACTAAAAGCTAGGAAGTAATGCAATTACTGCATATTTTGTAGTAATATATTTCTCTCATATCGAAAGCATTTGTCGTATTTCCATCATAACAATTTATAGATAACATTAGAAACTGACAGCTGTCAATCATTCGATTTCTAATTAGGACAATAAAGTACCCATAAACCTTTCGCTTTTAACTTTACTTGTTGTGATAGATTATTTTATTTATGAATATAAATGAAATAAACTACCACAACAACTGTATTGTTCCAAGATAGATGAGAGTTATATGAGATGCAATGCTTAAGAAATTATAAATTCTTTTCCAGAAACGTTGTATGCCGTCTTCTTTAAGTTATTATATAAGGCACTTTCAAATAATTAAAAGTTTACATCTCGAAAGTAATGCTATTTTATAAGATTAAAAATAAATTTCCGTAGAAGTATTATAGCAATAATTTTTTTCCGCCCTCAACTTTTCCATTTTACTTTTATGAGATGCAAATGGACTGTTTTTCATTCAAAAGTTTTGAATTTCTCATTCTAAGCTAATCGATGTTATGATATAAATCTTCAAGAGAATATCGTCATTTCGATTTAAATGGCGATACCGTTCGGCAATGTGGTACAGGAAATATAGGAGTATCAGATCAAAAGCAAACGCAATTGAAATAACCTATGCTCTTGAGAATAATCAAAATTATAACTTCTCAATCAAAAGCTAAATGTGCTAGAAATATAAAAATCGGACATTGTCAACATATTGAATCAGATAAAGATCACGAAGCATTTCGAATTTCGTCAAGATCAAGCTTAAATAAACTTTATCAATTAAGTTTTAGTCAAATTTCAATATCGATCATATGTACAACTCTGTGAATTGTATGAAGTATGGAGAACACAACAATTTAACTTGATTAACGCTTTTGGAATTGATGAATGACAAGGTTGATTTAACATTTTTTACAATCACATATATTTTGGCAATTTAACTTAATAAAATCAAAAACGATGACATCAATGAGTATGGGTAGCTATTTTGCAAAGTTTCATTTAAATCTCGATTTTGGAATAACTAGACATCAAAAGTCCGAAGAGATCAAATGTATGTCGTCGTATTTAAATTAAAGTATCAATAAACTAATTCCACAATTTAAACCTCCTTCATCAGGGAATGGCTATATTTTTAAAACATATAAATGAATTAGTTTCGACTCACAAAAACACTTTCAAACATAACAATTTTATGTTTCAGGTTATTGTTAATTACCACATTGCTGGCTGGTCATGTTCTAAAACTTTGATTGGTGACCATATTTTTTATTCGTCCGATTTTCAATTTCAAAAAATGATATAAATAATGTTTTATGATATCACGTGAATCCTCGCTGTAAATAAAATGTATAGTAGGCAGTAAGGCGCAAATGAAAATGATGTAGCAATTTAAAAAAATCCTCATTGGAATATTATTGTTTTTTTCGAAATATCTATTCCAAATTCTTGGCAAATATTTATTAATAATAATTCCAATTTCCATTGTACCACAATACCACACAGCCTGCGTTAACATGGACCACTCATAATGGCTAATATCCATACCATTCGTTTCACTTTCAGTGGCCGAAATTCCTAAACATATTAACAAATTTGGCGATAAGTTAAGTTGCAGAGGAGATTTTGAAGTTTAGCAAGTTTTATCGTAAGTATTCAAAATTAACGTTAAAACAGTTTATAAACTTGTTGTTCGTATTATGAAAAAGAAGAAAACATTTTTGCAAACAAACTTCGACGTTGAAGATGTATGCTGTAGAATATTGCAACATATATAACAAACATAGCATTAGGTATGGTTAGTTTCCAAATATCACGAATCCTAAAATATAATAAATAACTATTGTTTTAAACCCAATTAAAACAATGCAACACAGAAATACAAAATTTTCTAAAATATATTTGGCAAACAGATTCTTTTGATTGGAGTAGCTAGCAAATAAAACAATTACGCTATATTGATTTGCACAAATTAAATATTTATTGATAATTGAATAGAAAGGAACTGAAAGAAAACCTCAACCAAAGTTGCACTCCATTGGACTTTACACAATTTCTTGCCCAACATAAGTTCCACACATGGAATTTTCTGGTGCAATAATAAGAATCTGCAGTTTGTAATGCTGCAAACCTTTATATGAAATATGATGCCAACATGTTTGACGAAGACTATTGGAACTTGAAATAAGTCAAATAATAGCAAAACAAAGTAAGAATTAAGGAATCTGGATGTGAATCCACACTAATAAAATCTCACTTCTATAATTTTGCGTCAATGAATAGGATGCAAAATCATTAGTTATTAAAACGATAGCAATTATTGTTCAAAAGAAATTATTTTGATCATTGCTTGATAGATATCATACCTAAAAGTATTAACCACATGAAAGCGGTTATAAAGTACAGCCTTGTTGATTCGAAAATAGCGTTGTATTTTGGTAAAATTAGTGCCACGAAGCGATTCACCGCCAGCAGTAGCGAAAAATGTAGTATGACAAAAAGTGAAAAACTCTTGCAGGTTGAGAATGCAATGCTAATCCATGCCTTTGTGTTCTCTAAATCTCACCAGATTAATTGATATTGCTTAATTATTTCTGCGCAATTAGAAATCAAACATATTAATTTTGTTTTGTGAGTAATAATAAAATCATTTTTAAGAGAAATACTGTAAACAATATTTAACCGGATAAACAAATAGTTCCATTTATTTGAAAAATGTAAATAAAACAACTTACCATGTGAATTGCTTTCAGTTTGTAATATTTCAGGCAACACAAGATACATTTGTGGTAGAAAAGCCATGAAATTGCAAATAATCAGTTGTATTGCGATAAGAACAAATCCATGACTGTAACGATTCTCTTTTCCGCGACAGAACAACACGATCGTCATTAATGTATTACTAATAATTCCGTAAAGCAAGAATATGATAGAAAGTATAACCGCTATGTATTTTGCAATCATGTGATTCTCATCTCTTATATCGACCTCATATGTCGTGTTTCTTTCCTGACAGATTACAGGCAAAATCAGAAGTACTACAGTAATATAGCAATAACGAATAAACATTTTAATTGATTATCTTCAAGAGGAAGAAAAGAATTTCAGCTGACTGAAATATAAACTGCGAAGAATTGCGAGATTCGGCATTTGTATGCATTAATTACGAAAGAATTATAATTTATCCCGAGATAATATTTGCATTTCTTTAGAAATTGTCGTAGAAATCGCTCATAATTTCTGCTTTAACATGTAGAAACAACGCTGTTTACTAATTTCAATTTCTAAATTAGAAATTATCCTCAATCCTTAGCTAACTCATTTTTCATGGCAATTTATTTTCCTTATTACAGTTTATTTTCTTTATAAGTCTTCTAAAAATAATGAACCAATTACGACGATTCAATGCAAAATAAATTGAAAATAATTAACTAATTACGATAATTACGATGAATTAACTAATTAAGTTAAGAATTTCCTCTTTCAGCTGCTGAGTCTTCTTACTGTATCACTTTAGCAGTGTACTTTTTGATAATCTGTGGAAGTGAAATGATTTGGTGTGACTGCCGCCAACAGCGCGAATTTTTTGAGAAGCTTTTTCAATTTAAGTTATAAAATTATTTGAAAAAATATTTTAAATAAAGTATAGTACATAAGTTGCCATCGATTATCTTTTTTGATTTAAATGCAAAATCTATTGAATCAGTGTTTTGATTTAAAGTTATTGAATCAGTGTTTTGATTTAAAGTTATTGAATCAGTGTTTTGATTTAAAGTTTATGCATGAAATTGATGATAAAAACAAATGAAGTTGACAACGGTGTGAAAACACGTATTTATGCATTGATTACACATTTTTATATAAGCATATGTAAATAACACAGTACTACATGATTAACAAATATGAAAACATATCAACTCTTAATCGCAAAAGCTGTAGGAGAATTATGATTTCCAATTCGGTAATGATTTATAATTTGGAAATTAAGATCAAAAAACACCATTGTTCTCACCTATGAAAGCAACAACGATATCGTTAACATTGTCGTTGGCAATTTCTGCAACTGTTATAGAAGATGTGGACATATTATTTCCAAGCCAAATTATTAATTGCTTTGTAATTAATGCATGCTAATTCCGAATCTCAATTCGAAATTCCAGACAGTTTGCTTTTCAACCGGTTGGAATCCTTTTCTTCCTCCTGTCAAAGATAATCAATTAAAATGTGACTCGTTCTTATTATATTACTGTATTATTTTTGATATTGTCGTAATCTGTCACGAATGAAACACGACGTATGAGATTGCTTTGTAATATAAGTGATGAGAATTATAAAATTACGAAATACATAGCAATTATAGTTATTATTTTCTTGCTTTATGATATAATTAGTAAAAACATTTAAATTTCTTAATTCATGTTTTGTTTTGCTATTATTTGGTTAATTTCAAATTCCAATGATCTTTACCAAATTTATCGGCACCATATTTTTGCAACGATTTTCAGCGTTACAAACTGCAGATTTTTGTCATTGCAGTGATTACCTATTTGTTGTGCTTAGTAATAATTTTTTACTTATTTTATATTTTAAAATAATAAATGTTTGGATTGTTATGAAACATCAATTAAGGTGTTAAGACACATCCAGCATTGTGTTTAGTAGTGTTGATCTGAAGCATAATATAGATTCTTAGAAATACTTTGACAAAATTTATGAGAAACCATATTTTCTATTATTGAATCTCATGAGTTATGTTTTGTTTCGTCTGTGATTTTGATTTTTGATCGAAATATAACTTTATGTAAAATGATGTAAATATATTAATATGTGCTGCTATTATATTAATAATATAATATATTATTTCCACCTTAATTGCACAATTATTTATTTATTGATTTTGAATCAGTCATATTTAACAGCATACTTAATGATAATACTATACAAAAATGATCTATACTTAAAAGAATTTCACACCTGCGCTTTAAATATTATAGATAAATTGCTAAATATATGATTCTTGAAACGTAAAAATTCCAAGTTATTAATTATATGTTGCTGTTATACGAAATGCTGATTATAATACATCTGTTAAGACTAATTTCATTTCACTAAAGAATATTTGAAAAAAAAATTTAAGTTGCAAAATCTATTCATAGTACCACTTTGAACTATTATGGGAATTTTCATGCTTGGCAATGCATGATCCGATGGGGAACGACCCCATAGAATACAATGCTGACAGATTATTTTTCACGTATGGCTACGCCAATTGTTGTTTGTTAACTTACACTCCGTCCATATGTGTGTATCTAAGAAATAGGATACAAGCTTATTCACAAATGCGTGTACCTTCACGTAGTTGTTAACTTCAATTGTTCTTATCATAAATTTAATGCATTGAAAGTTCTTTGAATCAAAGCATTTGTTCAATAAAAATAGAAAACTTATTAAAGATCGTGTTCCCCAACGATCTAACAAACTCATATAAACATTTGAAGTTCATGCAAACACGGATAATCTCGAATGATAATCAAACTTTTCGATAAAATATATTAATGTAGATTTAGCAATTATGAAAATCATTCTGCTATGCAAATATGAAGAAAGCATCGATGGAAACTGTTCCTCTCTTTCTCTCTCACTCTATTTTAATTATTAGTGATGAATAAGCTAACAGTCCAAACTAATGAATCACATAAAGGAATATTATCACATTATTTAAATTTGTTTTATAGAACAGAAAGAAAAAAATTGTTTTGATTAAGATTTCAAAATGTATGCCAATGATGTTTGGGTATAAATTTAGCATTTAACGAAATGGATCGATCGATCGAAAATAATGATTGATAGGGAAAATATTACTTTATGCAAAACGAAATGTTTGCAATCAATTTGCTCACTCATCAAAGAAAGATTTATGTGACAAACGATTAGTAGCACATTAGGAATTGCATAATCAAAGAAATACCTAACTATTACAAAATTTTTATGATAGCCATATAAATAACGATGATTAGACGAAAATTAAACAGTACCGTACAATACGGAAATGGCAAAAAATATGACTGGTATGTATTTTGTAACCTTGCTATTCTCATTTTTATAGCAGCTTCATATATCGTGTTTCTTTTCTGACAGGTGAGAGTAATTTTAAAAATAATATTAGCAATATAGCAAGAACGAGATAATATTTTAATTATCATTGGCAGAAGGAAGGATAAGAAATGGACTTCAACTGTTGAAGTACCAACTGCTAGGAATTGCGAGTTAGAATTGGGAGTTAGCATGCATTAATTGTGAAGCAATTATAATTTTTGATCGAGAAATAAGATTTTTGAATTCTTCTGCAACTATTGTAGAGATTGAATTAATGATAGTGTTAACAGTACCATCGTTACCTTTATACGAGGAACAACTGCTTGTTTGATCTCAATTTCCAAATTACAATTATCATCAAGAGACTTAACTCTCATGCTTTTGCAGTTAACAGTTGATATTTTTCAAGTATACATTAATCATATAATGTAGTTAAAAAGGCTCATTCAACTAATCAATGAATAAATACGTGTACTTTCACGCCGTTGTCACTTCATTTGTTTCTGTCAACAATTTTATGCATAGATTCCTTTGAATCTAACCATTGGTTCACTAACAATAGAAAATTCATTAGATTTTATGTCAAAATCAAAGAGATATACGATACATACGTGTGCATAACATTTATTTAAAATATTTTCGCAAATAATTTTATAGCTAAAATTGAAAAAGATTCTCAGAATGTTCGTGATGCTGAAAGTGATGCAACAAAAAGATATGACAACTGAAAGGCAGGAAAATCTCATATTTCCTTTCACATCGTAATAAATTAATTGTTTTCAATTTATTTTGCATTGGGTAGTCATAACTGATTTATTACTTCCAAAGACTCGTATAATTAGGAAAATAAATTGCCACACAAACTGAGTTAATTAGCAATTGAAGTTAATTAAATTTAGAAATTGAGATCAAAAAACAGCATTGTTCCTATATAAGCAAAAGTTATTGGCGATTTCTATGACAGTCGTAAAAGAAGTAAAAATATTAAGTTGATAATTACGTAAAAGTACATGTATTTATTCGTTTGCTATACATTTGTGAATGGACCTATGCAAATATATTTAAAAAATATCAACCACAAAAGCTGCGAGAAACTTAAATCTCCATTTCGATAATAATTTGTAATGTGGAAATTGAAAGAAGTGGAAATATTTCGGATGAAATTATAGTTGAATTCTAATTCGCAATTCTTGGCAGTTTGTACTTCTTGTGTTTCATTACTTATATTGTTTCTATCTTTATTAATATATGTATTGATATGGAAGAATGGAACAAAAGAAATCTGTTGCGTTTCTGAAGCACTAAATGCAGGAGAATTCATTCTGGAGTCTTTCTAACACTTTACAAAGTAATAATGTTGCATTACGCAAGAT